CCCACACCGGCTAGCCAAAAAGCTCCATTAGCGGTTGTCATCTGTCAAACACCACCGATATGATGACAAAACTGCAGAACGTCGGGATGAGATACAAAAAGCTTGTCAGCTTCGACGCTGAAAGGAATGGATGAGGATGAACTACCGCTGCCGAGGGATGATTTCGTCGCACTCATCCGCCTCTGCGTGGAGTTTGGCCGTTCGAATTCCGAGGACGTGAGTACGAGCAAATCCAAGGACTTCCGATGGGCTCACCTCTTTCAGCAGTCCTCGCCCAGCTGTTCATGGAAACCCTCGAGGCTGACCACTACCGGAACATCGTGAGGAAGAATGTAGTTTGGCTTCGTTATGTAGACGACATCCTCGCTGCAGTGCCGACCAGGACTAGCCTTCAAAACTTCCTCCATAGACTGAACACAGTGCACCCATCCATACAATTCACCACAGAAGAGGTGAGAAACGAACAGCTACCTTTCCTCGACTCCGTAATCCATAGGAGACCTGACGGCCCGGTATTTTCTGTGTACAGAAAACAAACTAGTAAAGATGATTTTATACACTGTTTCTCCGCCCACGGCGATAGAATCAAAGAAGGCGTGGTTATTGGTTTCTTCCTCCGAGCACTTAGAATCTGCAGCCCGGAATACCTGGAGGAGGAAATGCAACACGCCAGGAATACCTTCCAACGCCTCCGTTACCCACGCACCTTGCTCGCCCACCTCCGACGCAAGGCAGAAAAGATCATGCGATGGTCCAGTGGTTAGAGCATCGAACTTGCATTCGTCGGCAAATCCAGGTTCGAGGGTTCGAGTCCCGGCCGGCGCGTTGTTCTCTTGGGCAAGGAGCTTCACCTTGGTTGCCCGATTGTAGATGGCCACATTCAATAAATATGATGAGCTCCTTTGTGAGCCAATGGCCATCCATACCTGGAGAGGAGATGGACGCCACCAGGTTACTGTCCAATGAAACACAATGATGCACACGCCAAAGACTTCTAAGATCGGGACAGGTGGAAGAAGGAGGTGAACGCAGCAAAGTGCCCCAACGGTCATGTGACTATGGGAATAAAAAAATAAAAAATAAATAAATATATATATATATATATATATATATATATATATATATATATATATATGTGTATATATATATATATATATATATATATATATATATATATATATATATATATATATATATATATATACACACATATATGTATACACACATATATGCATACACACACACACACACACACACACACACACACACACACATATGTATATGTATATATATGTATATATATATATATATATATATATATATATATATATATATATATATATATATATATATATACATATATATATACATATATATATACATATATATATATATATATATATATATATATATATATATTTTTTTTTTTTTTTTTTTTTTTTTTTTTCTTTTTTTTACATGTATTTCTGACGATATAATTGTATTGTGAAGATATTAATTATCATTCATACCTTTTCTACAAGTGTTTGTGTATCTATGCATGTATGTATATATGTATATATGTGTGCATATATATATATATATATATATATATATATATATATATATATATATATATATATATATATATATATGTATATGTATATATATATATATATGTATTCTATATATGTATTCTAGATTTTGAACTATATTCCGGATTTCAGGGTTCCAGGACATTGGATTCTCAATTTTAGATTCCAGATTCTTGTCTCCGCGAGGCGAATTCTTGTAAAACACTTCCCTCTTATAAGTGCCTTAACGAGAATTTGAATACTGTATATTTTCTTTTGCTTTTCTTCCACGCTCATTAGATCCTAAGGGAACCTGCGTGTTCATGCAATCAGTGCCCTTAAGAAACGTCCTTTTCCGCAGACGACATCCAATAAAATCATTAAGTTGGTCAATATATGATCAGATGGAGTCAACAAGGAGTCGTTGTTACTTGACAAGTTGTTCGTAAGATTGACAGGTGTTGCAAAACATGTATTTAAGGAAAAAAAAATGATCGAGGAACTGTTAGTATAAATGTAACATCAAAATCCGCATTTCTGCACAAGGTTCCAGCATTTCACCCTAAAACGTCAAGGTGAGTGGATTCACCTCTGCAGTTTGTACATCTGATGTAGATTCCATGTAGGTGTAAATATAAATCTGTGTATATATGATTACAAATTCACAGACAAGAACATATATTTCGTGTGCGGTGATAATTGTAGAAGGCAACAATTAAATGCGACTTTTCAGCTGTATTATGTTACTATGTATACCTCCTATTCGAAAATCAGACACTTTGTTTTAAAAAAGAGCGTTAATTCGTCCTCTAACTCCTGCACACGACCCTGATTAGGGACCTCATCTCGCTCTCTCATTCTCTCTCTCTGTCTATCTATCTATCTATCTGTCTGTCTGTCTGTCTGTCTGTGTGTCTGTCTGTCTATCTATCTATCTATCTATCTATCTATCTATCTATCTGTATCAGTATCTCTCTCTCTCTCTTTCTCTCTCTCTCTTTCTCTCTCTCTCTTTCTCTCTCTCTCTCTCTCTCTCTCTCTCTCTCTCTCTCTCTCTCTCTCTCTCTCTCTCTCTCTCTCTCTCTCTCTCTCTCTCTCTCTCTCTCTCTCTCTCTCTGACTCTCTCTCTCTCTCTCTCTCTCTCTCTCTCTCTCTCAAATGCATGAATTATTAACTTACCGCTGCGCATTATGTTCGTATATATAACATATTGTTGAAATGTAACATAACATACATTATTTCATTATTTACCATACTATCCTCGTCGCAACAGCAGTGTCTCCCGACAATGTCTCGCCTGATGCTTCTTGTGGTAATGTTTTATTTGTTTGTTTTTATTTTTTCTGTGTATAATGAAATAAATGTCTTATGGTGTACTATCATCCTTTTCGTTGTTTTCCCTCTCTTATTTTATTAATGTTCAAATTTCTAGATTCGGAATAGTAGTGACAGTTTCACTATACTCCCTGTCTCCTGGTTATATGTTTATCTGTTCCTCTTTCTTTCTCTGTCTACCCATCTGCTTGCCTGGCTATCTATATATATTTAACTATATATCTATCTGACTATCTATGCATCCTAATTCTTCAATTATATATCTAACTGCCTATTTCTACCCACGTGTCCACTCATCTTCTCTCTCCCAAAGGTGGCGCTGACGGCGGTGCCTCGAGCGACGCCTTTTAGTTGCCCCAGCGATGGCATCTTCTGTTCCAGCTGCACATCCATCTCCGTGTGCAGTGGCCCTGGAGCCGAGGGTTTAGAAGTCAGCTGTAAAGACACTCAGGTTATTGGTTTCTCTGACATTGCTGACCAGTTTCATGGTGCATTCGTTGACTGTCTTCATGAATGGTTGTGTTGTTTATTTATGTGTACATGTATTGACGTCTCCTTCCTCTCCCTCTCCCTCTCCCTCTCTCTCCACCCTTCCCTCCTCCCCCTTCCCCTATTCTCACCAGCTATGCGGAGTCTCCGGCACCTTTTCCTCCTGCTATGAGAAGGGCGCTCCCGAGGCCGAGTCCTGCGCGTGTCAGGTCAACGAAGGCTTCCTGGCCGACCCCTACGACCCGCGGAAATTCGTGATGTGCTTGCCCGACGGGAGCCAAGTCTCCTCTTCCTGCCCGGGTGAAGGCGAGGTGTTTGACGTCGTCGGGAATTCGTGCGGCTTGCTGACGACCA